ATGATAACTTCCTCAATGGCTCAAGGGGGCGTTTCTTTCAAAAAGGTTAAGAACCACTGCTTTAGAGTCACAGCTTATGACCGACTCTCAGAATCTCCAGGAACTTGCATTAAGCCTGAGAAAGAAGCTCAACAAGGCCTTTGATATGGTTCTATAAGCACAGACCTTCATCTACAACACATCAGAACAGCCCTCTCAACACACACACAATGAATTGTGGTAAAGGAAGACAATGGCATGTGGCCGAGCAAGAGCCATTACTGTATGTGTAAACTAACTCAGAGGATAACTCAAGAGCTGCAATCTCCTTTCATTGTTCGGCAGGATGAAATGACTGTGGAATAATGCATCAATACAAGCATAATCAATTAATTTTTCCATTGTTTAACTAACTTTGGCAAATTCTTATGTGGAAAAAACTATACTCATATACATCAAATAGGCCAACAGAAAAACTTACTGTTCTCTAACCTCTGGTCCTGCTATGGGTGCAAAAGATTCAAATAGCTTTGTGAAGCTCACAGGATCATAGCAATCATTCATCTGCTCCATCATTTTCTGTTTAACAATTAATTTAAATTCAGTGCTGGTGAATTGTAGACTCTGGTAAAGTTGAAGGATGATAACTATATCATTAACATGTAGCTTGTCTGCATTCTGGAGAAAAACTTTATTACATTTATCCAGCAATGGCCGATGTAATAGTCTGACATTGCAGAGGAATTGTACAAATCGCCTGGCATGGTTCAAGTGAACGATTCCGTGGATCTCCAAAAGAAACATTGCCTTCTGTATTAACCGATCCCGGAGATTCAATGAAATAACACTGGATATGTTGACCATCAGTATGGAGAAAATTCTGAAAATATTCAATAGATTAATTGTGTGGGTTTTTTGTGAAGAAATGTATCAACATTGCACTGAGAAACAAATTAAAAAATAAAGACGGCATTAGCTGCATTTTGGCAGAATGGGACCAACTGCCTTCCTTTGAAATTTGAAACAGGTAAAAATCAAACAAAATTCTTCTTTTAACAATAGTTAAATGAACTTATTACAATCTACTCAGTTGTTTTTAATACTAAAAGAAATTACTTTTCAAAGCAAAGCAACCGAATTATTTTCTTTCATATTAAAGTCAGAGGCACATAGTAGCTCAGACTGCACTCCTACACCCACATACAGAACTAAATCTTGTTGACAAAAATGGGACTTAATTTCAAGTGAAAACATTCAGTATTATGCTCCAAGAATCTGATTTGTAAACCACTGTGTTCCAGTTTAAATCTTACCCATCAAATTACTTGTTCATCCTCAGGAAGCCATTGTTAAATCTTTACAGTGATCGAGAGGGTGGTGGCCAACCAGCTGCAGGCATGCCTGGAGGAGCAGGATTGCCTTGACCCATTCCAGTCTGGATTCAGGCCTTGGTGAGGTACTGAGATGGCACTGGTCACGCTGCAGGATGACCTTCCAAGAGAGGCTGACAGGGCGGATGTAGCCTGTTGGTTCTCCTTGAGCTCTCAGTGGCTTTTGATCCTGTCGACCACAGTATCCTCCTGCACGGGCTCTTGGAGACTGGGATCAGGGGCCTAGTATTGTGCCTGTTCCAATCCTTCCTTGAGGACCGGGTCCAGAGGGTTTGGGGATGATGTGTCGTCCCCTTGGACCTTCACTTGCGGGGTTCCTCGGGGTCGTCATTCTCCCCAATGCTATTTAACATCTATGTGTGAAGTCACTGTGGGAGGTCATCAGGGGATTTGGAGAAAGGTGTCATCAGTATGCTGATGACACAACAATACTTATCTCTCTTTTACCATCTCTGCAGTGGATGCTGTCCGGATGCTTGAGTGATGCCCAGCTTTGGTACCGGAATAGACCAGGGCTTAGAGGCTCAAACTGAACCCAGACATGACAGGCTGTGCTCCTGGAGGGGGCCTAGCCTGGACAGCACTGCCCTCCCATTTAAGGACCTAGTTCGGAACCTGGGCATTCTCCTGGACCCAGCTCCAAGGACCTAGTTTGGAACCTGGGCATTCTTCTGGACCCAGCTCTTTCCTGAGATTCCCAGATCGCAGCTGTGTCCAGATCAGCCTTTATTCAGCTTAGACTGATCATCCTACAACCATCCCTACTTGGACAATGGCTCCCTCAGGAGAAATTAACAGATCATTGTCGATCTGGTAATTTCTCAGGTCGATTGCTGCAATGCTCCCTACGTGGGGCTTCCCTTGAAGCTGACCCAGAGACTTCAGTGGGTCCAGAACGCATGGGCCAGACTGGTGGTTGGTGAGATCAAATTTCAGTGCTGACTTGCCTCCACTGGTTACCCTTTGTGTCCAGGATCAGGGTCAAGGTCTTGATACTTATGTATAAAGCCCTTCACAGCTTGGGCCCACGTTATTTAACAGAGTAGAGTACCTCTCCCCAATGTCATCTGCTGAACTCACCAAAGCATCACAGGTGAAGCTCCTCCAGGTGGCTGCCCCAAAAGAAGTCCATAAATCATCTAAAAGAGGCAGGGCCTTCTTCGCAGTGGCTCTAACTTGGTGGAACCAGCTCCTGGAGGACCTTCGCCCGGCACCCTCCTTGTTGATATTCAAGAGGCAACTGAAGACAGAGCTTTCCAGGGAGCCTTACCGCTAGGACCCTAGCTGAGTTGACTGTACATCTCCCTCTGGCTATTTTTATTTTTATTTTTTTTATTGCCATCATTGCTCCAGTGCCCCCTTCCATCACTTATGCGGTTAGATTATTTATATTACTCTAGTTTATTATTTTATTTTCATTGTATGAGTTCTTATTGTAAACAGCCCAGAACAGTGCTTCAGCACTAATCAAAGTAGTATATAAGTTAAAGTAATCAGCAAGTAAATAATAAATAAATAATCCCATAGTGAAACACGAAGGTGACTTTTGTGATCTCAGCAGGACTATGACCAGTAGACATATTTAAGATTCGGATACAGGATTCTAGAAATCATGCCTGGAAATAATTTTTCTAAGGGCAAATAAGAAGCGTGTGAAACCCAGGGACCAACAATTCTATCATTTTCTCAGATTCTCATACTACCGATAAGTGGGGACACAGAATGATGTAAACAGGCAACTAGGCCAATAAGGTTTTGATCATCAGACCCAAACAAATTGCAAAATAGTATGTACAACGAAGTTCTTGTCAGACCCACCTTCTTTTACAGTGGTGCCTTGCATAGCGATCGCTCCATTTAGCGATGAAATTGCTTTGCAACGCTCCCTATGGGGGAATTTCCCTTTGCGATGATCGGTTCTCTGCTTCGGGAAACGAGCATCGCAAAGCGATGATTTTTTAAACAGCTGATCGGCGGTTTCAAAATGGCCGTCCACTGTTTTTTGGGACGGATTCCTCGCTTAACAGCCACGAAAATGGCCGCGCTATGGAGGATCTTCGCTGAACAGTGAGTTTTAAGCCCATAGGAACACATTAATCAGGTTTTAATGCGTTTCTATGGGCTTTTTAATATCGCATTGCGACGTTTTCATTCTGCAGCATTTTTTGCAGAACGAATTAACGTCGCAATGCGAGGCACCACTGTATTTAGATCAGTGCTCAGCTTACTTGAGAGCATAAGTGACTCAAACAGATCTTTTAAAGGCACAAGTACATAAAATACAAGAAACCCCAATCACATCTCATGTTAAGCTACTCCTTACCTTATATCGTCTATAGAATCCAAGTTCCTATTTACAATGTCAGCTATACGACCTACAAGAGAACTTCTATGTAATTCTTGTTTATTTAGACTGAGTGCAAATTTAGACAGTGCAGGAAGGCTGAGTCTGGGAGGATAGAAAAGAACATCTTGTTATTACACCTAAAACTTGACATTTGCAAATATGGCAAATTTCAAGAAATATTCCTGAGTCAAAATTCACTGTTTACTTCCACTGTTTTTTAAGAGGACACAGATTATATATGGGTAAAAAGGCACAACACACTCAGTTTCTATATTTAAAGCAAACTGTACAAATAACATTTTAATATGCAGTTAGGTCCAGAAATAATTGGACATTGATACAATTTTCATAATTCTGGCTCTGTACTCCATCATAATGGATCTGAAATTAAACAACAGAGATGCAATTAAAGTGCAGACTTTAATTCAAGGGGTTGAACAAAAATATTGTATGAAACATTTAGGAATTGCAACCATTTTCATACACAGTCCCCTTATTTCAGAGGCTCAAATGCAATTGGACAAATCAACACAATCATAAATAAAATGTTCATTTTATATACTTTGTTGAGAATCCTTTGCAGGCAATGACTGCTTGAAGTCTGGAACGGATGGGCATCCCCAAACACTGGGTTTTCTCCTTTGTGATGCTTTGCCAGGCGTTGACTGCAGTTGTGTTCAGTTGATGTTTGTTTGTGGTTGTTTCTGCCTTACGTTTTGTTTCTAGAAAGTGAAATGGATGCTCGCTCTGGTTCTGATCAGGTGACTTACTGCAGAATATTCCACTTTGTTGCCTTAAAGATTCTGGGTTGCTTTTGAAGTATGTTTTGGGTCATTGTCCATCTGTAAAGTGCAGCACTGTCCAATCAACTTTGCTGAATTTGGCTGAATCTGAGGAGACAATATACTCTTCCAAATTCATCCGTCTGCTTCTGTCTTCTGTCACATCATCAATAAAGACTAGTGACCCAGTGCCATTGGAAACCATGCATGCCTGTGCCATCACACCGCCTCTACCATGTGTTACAGATGATGTGGTATGCTTCGGATCATAATGCCCATGGCATCACACTGCCTCTACGGTGTGTTATAGATGATGTGGTATGCTTCAGATCATGAGCCATTCCAAGCCTTCGCCATACTTTTTTCTTCCCATCATTCTAGTACAGGTTGATCTTAGTTTCATCTATCCAAAAAATGCTGTTCTAGAACTGGTTTCCCAGATCTATAGGATGTGCTGGAACACCGCATCTTCCATCATTCTAGTATAGGTTGATCTTACTTTCATCTGTCCAAAAAATGCTGTTCTAGAACTGGGCTGGCTTTTAAGGATTTTTTTGGGGGGGCAAAGTCTATTCTTGAGGCTTATGAATGGTTTGCATCTCATGATGAACCCTCTGTATTTGTTCTTGTGAAGTCTTCTCTTTATGCTAGATCTGGATAATGATATGCCTACCTTCCAGAAAGTGTTCTTCATTTGGCTGGATGTTGTGAAAGGGTTTTTCTTTACCATGGAAAGGGATCCGATGATCATCCACCACTGTTGTCTTCCATGGATGTCCAGGCCTTTTTGTGTTGCAGAGCTCAGTAGGGCATTCTTTTTTTTTCTCAGAATGTCCTAAACTGTTGATCTGACCACCCCTAATGATCCTCCTAGCTCTCTGATGGATTTCTTCTTCTTCTTCTTCTGCAGCTTAAGCATGGCCTGTTTCACTTGCACTGAGAGCTCCTTTGAACACATATTGTGGGTTCACAGCAGCAGCTTCCAAATGCAAATACCACACCTGGAATAACTTCAGGCCTTTTACCTGCTTAATTGATGATGAAATAACAAAGGAATAGCCCACACCTGTCTATGAAATGGCTTTTGAGTCAATAGTCCAATTACTTTTGGTCCCCTGAAAAAGAAGGGGCTACATATTAAGAGGCTGTCATTCCTAAACCATTCCTCCAACCTGGATGTGAAAACCCTCAAATTAAAGCTGAGAGACTGCACTTTAATCCCACATTCATTACTAAACTTGCTTCAGTATCTAATTATTTCCAGAGCTAACGGAATATAGCACCTCCTCTTCTCCACTTTCATCTTCAGACAAGTAACACTTAGTTGTATTCTTATAAACTGCATTGTTATAAAAACCCACAATGCACTCCTCGTGCTTTAAGCCCTATCTCTCATTCTATGGCTCCTTCTACTGCAGCCTATGCAACACATGTCTAGGGTCCCAGTCAAGCAGTGGTGGCAACTAACAACGAATACACAAACACGTTCTCTGCTTCCCCAAATAGGCAGGACTATGCCCCTGCTTTGACTTTGGATCCCAATATCTGTACCTACAAGCTTCCAGAACTCAGCACTTGAAGGTTTGGGGACACATAAAACAGCAACCATAGCCATATTCTTGTAATTTGTGGGATCTACAAAGAGTTTGAGTGAAGAGCCGCTGCCTGTTTGTTCTTCATCTGAGTAGGAATGGAATAGAGTGGTTGTGGCAGGGCTGCTCAGGGGAAGAGGTGGCTTTTGGGTGCTGCACAGTGCCTTGCTGGCGTGGCAGAACAATATGAGACTGAAAAAAATACCAACTGTCTGTTGGTCAGACAGACCATGCAGCTCACTCCCACCCAGCTTTGCAGTACTGTAGTAGGTGTAAATTTGGCTTGCCTACCTGGATTTCCTTTTTATAAATGGTGGACAGATGCTCTACGAGGCAGGTGAGTTTTGCTGGGATTAGGCGAAACGCACACCTGTTGCAACCATGACTTCCGGCACTAAGCTTTTCTGCTTGCAAGTTGCCTTTGTTTCATCTCACTCCTTTGAATAAAGAGCCAAGTGATGCAGTGCAGACAAAAGGCTTCTGTTTTGCACTTGAGTTAGTTCTACCTCTGATCTCTTGGCTCCACCTTTGGTGGTGCCGTAATTCCGTGTCTGCCCCCCCAGCATCAGTGGGCAGTGGATAATCTGATCTGATTGGAGGAATGGGGAATGTAAACATAATTACAGTGGTGCCTTGCTTAGCGAGCGCACCGTAGAACGACGAATCCACATAGCGAGGACGTTTTAGCGATGGCCTCTATGGCCGGAAATCGCATAACGAAGGACGGTAAGCGTTTCGCTGACCAACCTTCGCTTTGAGACCCGCGGATCAGCTGTTCGGTGGCTCCAAAATGGCCGCCGGAAGCCCCGAAATGGCCGCGCGCAGCGTTTTCGCGCCCTCGCTAAGCGAGGGGAAGGCACGAAAATGGCTGCCGGCCATAGGGAAGCATCGCTCAACTGTGAGTTTCGGGGCCCACTGGAATGGATTAAACCAAGTTTAATGTGTTTCAATGGGTTTTTTCATTTCGTTGAGCGCTTCAGCATCAGTGGGCACCACTGACCGGTGGGTAATCTGATCTGATTGGAGGAATGGGGGATGTAAACATAATTATAAGTAAGGCTGAGAAAGATGAAATAAACAGGAAAAGAGAAAAACCAAGTATGAGATTGACTGACTTCCAAAAGAAAGCCATGGTCTTGAGTTTGTAAGAGCTCAGAGAAACCGCTAGTGACTGGATCTTTCAGAATTCACTAATTCATAGGGTCACCATAAATTGAAAGTCACTTCAGAGTGTAAAGAACAATGTACAGTGGTGCCTCGCACAACGGTTGAAAGTCATTTCAGCGTGTAGAGCAAGAACAATGTATATAACAAATAACTGTCCTGTGTTAATCATCTCTTTGACTGAGTCACCCAGCTTCCTGTTAGGTATAAATCCAGCTGGGTCAATTGGAAATTTTTGTGCTGTGATCTTACACATATCTTTTTTGAAATACAATCCACTAAGTTCAGTGGCATTTACTCCCAGAGAGTCAGAACATTATTTTTTAGTTCAGTTCTACATCAACTTGAGCTGCAATGAAAAGTGTTTCACTTCAGGTCAATAAAGGTTCAGTAAACAATTCAATGACATATCCAAGTGGTTTGCTTGAGAAGATTTAAATATAAGGTTTATTGTTTGTAATGATAATTCACAGAGTGATAGAGCAAGGTAGTCAAAGGCTGTTACTAAATATCAGAAATAAATATTATGCTGCATCAACGAAACAGAAAAAATTATGTAGTTGACAAATACTAATCTATACAGCTTAATTCTAAATGTACAAAGATTTACACAAGAGATGAAAACGCAAATAAATTTTAAAAGAAGAGGAATTAGTAAATAATCACAGAACTGCCACTATGACTAATTAGCTACAAAGCTATGCATTTCTCATTGATTTAATAAAAACAGAGAAATACAGAATTGTCTAATGTAATCTGATGGATCATGTATGTTAAACAAAGTCTTTTAACAAAGAGGAAGTAGGACTCGGCTATCATCTCTGCCTCTTGCTTCTCTGGACCAACCAGCTATTCAAAAGAGAGCACAAAAAACTGTACTGCAAAACCCATGGAATATAAATTATTCTAGATTTGGTGAAGGCAATGGATTTATCACATCAGCTGTTTTATTGTTTAGCTGAATTCTAATTCAAATATACACGTAATTTTGTTTTGGCTCAAAATGCTATACTTTTAAGATAATTCTTTAAGCTCTGTTCTAATTTGTGGACATAGGAAATGGTTTGTTTAGGGTTTTTGATTCAGAATTGGTCTGATTTCAGTTTATTTCCAAATAAATTTCCAAATAAGGAAATACCGCCTAAAGCTACAATTTCAAATCCTTTTGGAACCATAAAATGACTTGGTACATTCTAAAATAGGTAACAATCTCTGTTGGTACAATGGCCTGCAATGGAAGCCAGTATTAAGCCACATTGTTTAGGACTCTTGACACTTTAGCTCTGAAAAGAAAGATGAGATGTACACAATGCCAGAAAAGGCTATGCCTTCCAGAACTAACCTTGTGAAAAATACTATAACAGTGAGCTACGAACCATTCCATTTATAGAACAAAATCAAAATGAAAGATATACTTGCCCATCTAATCGTCTCCAGAGTTCCATGACCAGCTGCTCTATCAGCGAAGCATGGTCCTCAACGTTGAGCCTTCAAAAAGCCAAAAGATGAGTTAAACCATTCTGTTAATCTTACCACAAATACCAGGTTGTGAGCCCATATGTTTCCCTTTATTGAGCAATATAGAATGCTTAGAAGGGTGTTTGTCTGTAGCAAATGGCAGACTGCAGACCAGCACACTCTCATTCAACATTTCAAATATGTAAATCTGTCCCCCCCACCACCATCCCATTGGCCCAATCTACAGCACAACATGCCAGTAGGTAAAATCCTTCTCGTATGACCCCATATGTTTCCCTTTATTGAGCAATATAGAATGCTTAGAAGGGTGTTTGTCTGTAGCAAATGGCAGACTGCAGACCAGCACACTCTCATTCAACATTTCAAATATGTAAATCTGTCCCCCCCACCACCATCCCATTGGCCCAATCTACAGCACAACATGCCAGTAGGTAAAATCCTTCTCGTTTCTTGAGACAGCTTTGCTTTTGCTTGATTACAGCTGTGAAATCTCAACTCCCCTTCCTGCCACTGTTTTGGCTTTTATTAATTTGGAAACAGCTTCTATAATTTGAGAGAAACTCAAGTATATTTTTGAGATCACAGGTACTGCAGTTCACTCCATGAACACATACATACTCTGAGAGAAAACTCAAGTATATTTTTGAGATCTATCACAGGTACAGCAGTTCACTCCATGAACACATACATACTCAGTCCATGAGCTCACGGTCAGGGATAGTAAACAGGGATGCTTTGTGTGGAATTGGTAAATCACAAGCTAAACATGAGCCAACAGTGCGTTGTGGCGGCAAAAAAAAGTGAAACATCTACTAAGGAGTAGCAACAGACTCAAGTATATTTTTGAGATCTATCACAGGTACAGCAGTTCACTCCATGAACACATACATACTCAGTCCATGAGCTCACGGTCAGGGATAGTAAACAGGGATGCTTTGTGTGGAATTGGTAAATCACAAGCTAAACATGAGCCAACAGTGCGTTGTGGCGGCAAAAAAAAGTGAAACATCTACTAAGGAGTAGCAACAGAAAGGAAGTATCCAGATCAAAGAAAATAATAGCACCACTCCATTTTGCTTTGGTTTGACCTCACCTAGAGTATTGTGAGGGAACCTGGCATGTTTCGCCTGGAGATGAGAAAACTAAGACCGTATGGCAGCTATCTTCATGGATTTAAAGAGCTGCCATATGGAAGATGGAACAGGCTTGTCTTTTAGCAGTTCAGGATGATAGAACCAGAAGTAACCGACTGAAAGGAACATTTGGAAGAAAATCCTAACAGTTAAAGCCATTCAACAGTGGAATCAACTGTCTCGGAGGGTGGTGGATTCTCCTCCATGGGAGATTTTTCTAAGCAGAGAGTTGGGTGGCCACCTGTAAGGGATAATGTGTAAACTCCACACCAGAATCAAAGAACATGAGAGACACTGCAGACTAAAACAACCAGAAAAATCTGCCCTAAAACAAGCTGGACATGAAATTCTATTTCAAAATACTGAAATACTGGACAACACCAGCAATCATTACGTCAGACTGCACAGGGAAGCCATTGAAATCCACAAGCACCAGCAGAACTTCAACAAAAAAGAGGAAAGTTTGAAACTCAACAAAACTTGACTCCCAGCTCTGAAAAATACAGCGTGCAAAAGGTCAACAAACTCTACCCAGACACAAGGACCGGAGATCACTGCACACAAAAGACCAGCTAATGACACCCATCAAGCACAGTGACAGATAATCTCTCCTCCTTATCACAACAATACACCCACAACAAAACACACTAATCCCCATCTCCTGAAAAGAACAAAAGACTATCTCACAGTCATAAATACTCCACTCCCAAGCAGACTATACCAGAGCACAGAGTGCTGTCCTCTGAAGATGCTGGTCACAGAGACTGGCAAAACATTAGGAAGAGCAACCTTCAGAACATGACCAAAGAGCCCGAAAAACCCACATCAACCATTAGATCCCGGCCGTGAAAGCCTTCACGAATACAAAGTGTATATTTGTTGCATTGCCAGGCATTCATACTTGATTATCCTTAAGGTCCCTACCAGCTTTACAATCTGAACAGGAGCCCTACCAGCTGGCTGCACAAAAATGCAAATGTTCCATTTTATTTAAAATGAAGCAAAACCAATAATAAGCACGCCCCCACTACATTTGAGTCTTACACTCCTTACCTTAATAGATTATAGAGCATGTCCACTAATGTTTGATCATCCATCTGTGCAATCTTGTTTTCGGCTAAAATGGAAAGAGTAAGAAACTGGGAGTGATTTTTTATATACTCAGTTCTCCTCATGACAACAGGTTTCTTCTTTTGAAACTGATAAAGAATGTCAATTGCCATGCCCACATGTTTTTCAGATAGATTTGTTTTGTTCTTCCCAACAAGGTCAAAAACTTGATCTTCATCTGTGCACTCATGTAGCTGGTTCAACAAGAAGTCGTTGCCGCTCCAAGTTTGGCACCGGCAACACCTCAGGGCAAATGGGTAGAAACGTCTTAGGTGAAGCATCTTTGTCATTTCTGCAGGTCTCATTAGACTGAATCCAGAATGCGATCGTCTTCCTTCATTTCTGATAATCAATCACACACCAGCAAGAAGGCTTGGCACTGGGATATATAGAAAGCTCCTTTCCCCGGTTTTGAAGTTACTGTGGAGGAAAACAGAAAGGGATGCTGAAGTATCTTCACGGTATCAGTTTAAAATAAGTACACCAAGCTCGCAAAGAGAACAAATTTGAGCGGTCTGTCTGGCTAGAGATGCTTGAATTAGACACAACTTTCCGATTCAATGGTCCAAACAAATGTCTGGTTGCTTACCTGTAGCTGTTCTTTAAGTGGTCATCTGTGGGTTCACATAAATGGGTTTGGAGTGCTGGTCAGTTGGAACAATGCTCCATCCGCAGCGAATACATTTCCTAAACAAGGCTTTTGTGGTGGAAAAGTCCAATAAAGGGATAATGTGTGTGTGTGGAAGGATGAATGAGAGGACAATAACTATCCTCAGTCGGAGATTAATATTGATGAAAAAAATGTATAAAAATAGGGGGAAAGTAGCGCTTAGCTGTGATCCAAAGGGTTCTCTGAGGAGAAAAAGGCTCCGGGCCTGTCTATACATGTGCGAGGTGGGCAAGTAATGGGGCTACTGTCAAAGGTTTAGCTAGAGAATGTTCCAGAATATGGCTTGGCACAGGTGCAAACACATTTTTTGTGAACCACAAAGACCACAACTAAGAACATGTTTCTCCCGATGAACACTGCAATACCAATGCAAGGTTTAGTGCTGTTGAAACAAGATGTAGTGAGTCTCAGATTTACACACCACTACTACATGCTTTCACAGCAGTTTAAATTAAACACAGCTGGCCATGGTATCTGAACCAAGACAACAGCTGCAGTAGCCTTACCTCCACCAGTGCCCAAAACCACCTCCTACTGCAGTGGCTCCCAAGAACATCTGAGGACCCCAATTTTTGTGTGTTGTCTTTCTAATGGGTCGATTTTACCTATTGGAGAGACAACCAAAAAAAGTGGCAACAAACAGATGAGAGAAATCAAGAAGCTTAAAGCCCACCTTGATATTTTACAAACTGAAGAAATGCAAAACAAGCTCTTATTTCTCAAACAGAAATATTTTGAACATGGAAATAAACCAGGTCAATTTTTGAGAGGACATTTAAGAAAGGAAGTGGAGAAAAAAACAATAACAGGTGTGAGAACAGCAAAGGGGAAATCACATATATGGAGAAAGAAATTGAAGAAGAAACTGTTTCCTATTTTACAGTTATGTAACAAAGAAAACCTGTCAGAAAGAAGAATAGAGGAATACATAAAGAATATAAGCATTCCAAAATTTTCACCTGGAAACAAGAGACATTTTGCATCAAAAGATAACAATCCAAGAGATATCTCAGGCAATAAGAAATCTGAAAATGGACAAAGCACCAGGACCAGATGGATTGACAGCAACCTATTACAAAAGGCTTGAGAGGCAGCTTGTAACACCCCTACAAAAAGGAATGAACCAAACAGGTGGAACAAAAGAACTCCCACCATCTTGGCAGGAAGCATATATAATAGGTGGAACAAAAGAACTCTCACCATCTTGGCAGAAAATATATATAACATCAATCTACAAATAAGGTAACGACACATTGCAACCACAGTCATACTGTGGATCACAGTCATACTGTGGATTACAAAATCTTTGCCTCATCCAACCTGCTCTGATTCAAGAAATGCATTATCAAAAGTAGTTTAAGAACATCTGGAGACCTAAAGTGGGAACCACTGCTCTAGATAAATGTGCAGAGTTCCAAGGGCCTAAAACGTTTTTAAAAATCAGATTTTTTGACAATGTAATTTTATTTAATTTAAATAATAAATTATAAATGCATTATCAAAAGTAGTTTAAGAACATCTGGAGACCTAAAGTGGGAACCACTGCTCTAGATAAATGTGCAGAGTTCCAAGGGCCTAAAATGTTTTTAAAAATCAGATTTTTTTGACAATGTAATTTTTATTTAATTTAAATCATAAATTATTTTATTTAAATTATTTAATTTAAATCATAATTTAAATTGTGATAACAATAATTGATATTTATCCATCCTGTCTAGAACTGAGACAGCTTATTTCAAGAGTGTCTCTCCCAAGTCCCATTCCAAAGAGGAGACTCAGGAGAGCACAGTGGTTGACAGTACTGAAAACCACCAAGAGATCTACGGTAGTAGAACCAACAGCAACATGTTTCTTTTGTTCTTTTCCCTGTATAGGTCCCACCAAAGATGAGTCAGTAACAACGAAGCCTAAAATCAGTCTCGAATGGATGTAGAGGACCTGTAGCCTCCAGAGGTCACCTTATATTACGGCTATACTGTCCTCAACCCAGAGTGTCCTTTCCCAGCAGGTCCACCATGGTTAGGCATGAGGAATGTTAGACTGGCCCAAAGATGAAACTATGGTGGTGCAGAATGGACCTAGCCTAACTCCATCTCTATTGATCCCAACTTTAACAAAGTGCCAGCAGTATGAATTTGTTGATTCAAGTTCAAAGAGGCTGCAAGAGGTCGAATTGGACCTCAATGCCAAAGAGAAACCACAGAAAGGGAAAGGACACTGGGAGAATGGAGATAATGGGAACCGCCCGGAGAACTTTGGATTGGCATAGCAAAGGATAAAGCTCAACACCCTGCCTTAACAGAAAGGACCATGGGAATTTAAGGGTCTGCAGGAGAAAGATCCTGGCAAGGCCAAAGAATTTGCAGTACACTGTTGCAGAATAAAGTTCTAGTTAACTGCATTGGTTGTATATATTTACGTAAGTCATCAAAAAAATCTGAAATTTGAATCGTGATTTAAATCAATTTAATTTAAATCAAATCCAACCTGCTCTCCAGGTTGATGATCAACCCCATGGGTCCCTTTGATGTTTCCTTTTCCATGGAGGGCCTAGTGACCCACACATGCAGACATTTCATTAATAAAAACACTGCATTTAACGTCCAGAGAGAAAAAAAGGAAAAAAAGCCATGTAGACCTTACTCAGTCCAAAGGCAAGGGTAGGCGATACTTTTTTAAGCGCACTGAAAATGTGCACAGAGATGCTTGCTTTCCACCTATACAGGTGTTCATCGGGTGGGGCATCTCTGCATTTTGTACGGTGCAGAAAAAAATATGTGAAAGTCCCAAAACTCATGACAGATGTCCGTGCCAGGTCTGCTCCTTAAAAGTAAGTTTCACAATGCAGGTGGCAAAAACAAGCAGGAAGTCTAGGTTTGAAGTGCTAACCCTGGTGGCCGTTGGTTGGATTATTTCTTCCCACTCACCAAACACAGGGATAATCCAACCAATGGCCACAGGGTTGGCATTTCAAACCCATTTTGTTTTTGCCACCTGCACTGTGAAACTCACCTTTAAGAAACAGACCCGGCACAGACATCTGCCGTGATGCTGGGGCCTTTCATGTGCTACTTCTACACTATCCACAATGCAGGAGTACCCAGCCTGCTGAACAGTTGTACAGGTCAAAAGTTAAAATTTGTGTGTACACACATAACTTTTTAGTGGTCTAATAAAGGTATAATGTACAACCTTGTTTTTGGATTGCATCTAATGTGCTGTCCAAAAATGTGCTAGCTGTTCCACCATAAAAGAGCGAGTGTAAAGCACATTATATTGCTCATTGTTCTTTGCCAAAATATAACATACACTGTTCTTATACAATAATACAGTATATTAAATAAATAGCACATAGTCAAAGGCTGTAATTCTTTCTTGAACAGACAAATCAAGTAATAACCGACTGTCCTATTTCAGACTTTTTTTGCCATTTTTGCTTGTTTTAAACAACCTCATTGATTTGAAATAGGCCTTTGTAGCATAATGCAAGTCCTGTGGTTATACAAGTATCTTTCATCTTACTAAAAAGATATTGTAGCATTTATCCCATGGCCCCTGCCTATTTCACCAAAGACCTCATCGGAGGATCCCAACATGCCCTTTAACACGCTGCCACTAGCTGATCTCTTTATCATCATATATTTCCTATGAAAGACTGAGGTCCATTCAGTACTGAACTTTCAAACAGAAACAGGTTTATTGATTACAAGTTGTTTTAGGAATACTGTAGTTCTTAAGCATGTTCTGAAAGTTACACAAAGCTTCTGTAGTTTACTTTAACCTCTTCTATCTTAATACAGGTCACACTCTGACTAATCACTCCTTAAACACTCTCTCTGCCTCAAACCCCAAAAACTCTTTCTCCAAGCTCTGTCTCTGACTGAACTCTCTGGACTCTGACTCACCCCCTCCCTTCTAGTGTCTCTGGCTCCGCCTCCCAACCGCTCTCATTGGTACAGTACATGCCAATAATCTTCTACCTGAGCCAAAGCAGGGTGATCCCTACACATATTCTGATCCGTGTAAATCTGGTGAAATTTCAAAATATTTGAATCATATTTTTCACTAAGCCCACTCTTTAGAGGCAATTACATCAAACAAGATAGCACTGATCTTTCCCAACTTTATATTTTATAAAAGAGAAACATCTAGCACAGCATGTCTTTATTTGGAAAACCAAACACTTCTATAAACAGTGTCTTCAAAACATCATATTTTTAAGATAGCCATGAGATGAATATACATATAATCAAAACTAATATTTCTAGGAGGGAAGCTGTGTTAGTTGGTATCCTGTTGCTACAAAACTAATCTTGTGGTATGTTAAAAATGGCAAAGGATTACCTGGCATAAACATCTGCGGACTGTAGCCCATCTCTTCAGATGCATGAGAAGCTATGCTCCATGTGTCTGAAATGGTGGACTGCAAGCTACGACAACACACACTTGAAAAGAATGTGTTGGATTTGCAGTACTGTACTTTTATGTAAAGAGAATGTGGAGGTTTCTTTTGTAACTTGTCATCAAATCAATTTCAGCTTATGGAACCCTAGCCAGAGTTTCCTAGGTAGAGAATACTCAGAAGTGGTTTGCCAGTTCTTTCTTCTGGGGCACCCCCCAGCACTGTGCCGCTTTCCCAAGGCTACACAGGTGCGCTTTGCCAACGGGAGGTACACTGAAGAATTGAACTGGCAGCTTGTCACTCTGGAGCCAGGAGCCCTGAGCAATAACCGAGGCTTTTTTTTTCACAGTCCTTGGAAATGAAGCCAAAGAAACCACGCACCTTTGCGTACAGAAGGAAACGCAATGAAGCACGCCTTGCTCCTTAGGGACACAGAGCACGTGAAGGGAGCCCTCCCTGCCTTTCAGCACATTCATCTTCCCGGGTGTTTTCTACCGGCAACTACCACCACCGTATTAAAAAGCCTGAACCTTTTCTTTCCCTGAGGCTGACTTGGAGCAGCATCTGCCCCAGCATCAGACCTGGAGGAATTCTGCAAAAGGGTCAGACCACATCGCCCATCAGCAGAACAGGAAAACGCCATCCCTCACCAACGAAGCTGCAGGGCTCCTCCAGGGAACCACGTGCTGGGAGGCTACAACGACCTACTCCTGTAGACACGCATCTCTCTCCCCCCCCCACATATCCCATGAAGAAGACAGTGATGCACACAAGTTTTGATGTGCCGAAAGAATCCTGTCCCCATGCGGTGCTCACTACACGTAAACGACTAGGGAACCTACCAAACGACCCGCTCCACAACTTCCGCGATGCAAGACCCTTCCTTGCTTGAAGAAGCCGAGCCAACATTTCCCAGCATACTTTGCTTGCTCCCTCGCGCTCCCGTTGCCTGTCGGGAGTTGTAGTATTTATGTTGTAGGCTAGAGTCTGGCCGAATCCTGTTTTCTGAGGCTACCTTTCTTGGGTGGAAATGCATAGGAAGTATACAGATGCTATTTCTCCTGTCTGGATGCTTATCCTGTCGACCTGAGATGACTTGGTTTATCAGTTTTGGAAGAGGTCGCCGTGTTAGTCCGCTAAAGTAGATCAGGCAAAATCCAAAGAAACGAAATTAAACAAGACCAAAACGTGGAGGCACCTTAAAGGCTATTATATTTTAATAGTAAGCTTTCTTGGCACGTCCATTTCGTCAGACATATGGGAACAGATGCCGGTTGTGTCTCCCAAAGATCCATGGAAAACCTGGGGAATCTCTCTGAAGAATGATGTAAAAGTGCCAATTCTGTAGAAACGCTATGGGAAGCCTTTTCTCCCATTCTCTGATGGAATGGGCGAGGCTAATGGATGAGGCTTGTCATATACAGTAATACAGAGTTAAAGCCGAACACACCTTTTAGTTTCTTCATTCATAGAAAATGCCAGTTGCGATTTCCTCAACTGTGGGAAAGCACTCGGAGAGAAGTCCGAAATGGCTGTGCATGCATGAGAGAGGAATTCCTCAGGCTGCAGCTCTGCACGCTTGTCCAAGTGTACGTGCCAGTATACAGATGTTTGAATAAATAATGTACAGTATAATAATGTCCCTGCTGAAGAGCTGGATCCATATTTAGTTACATCTCGAGCAGATAGATCCCTTCAAGTCAATAGGTCCCGAATTAGTGATTACTAGTTTAACTCAGATAGTTTTCAATGAGAGTTACTAAGAGCATCTAGACGTCTATTAGGAGCTTTTAGAAAAAGGTGTGCATTCCTATTTTTATTTTATTTATTTAATTTATACATTAAGAGCATCTAGACGTCTATCAGGAGCTTTTAGAAAAAGATGTGCATTCCTATTTTTATTTTATTTATGTATTTCATTTATACCCCGCCTAGTCAACTGTGACCACTCTAGGCGGCTACAGCCCAGAAGACAGCTACGCACCCTTTTTAGTGTGTGGTCCCTCTCCCAAGGATCCAACCCAACGCTGGCCAAAACCAAGGAACGTCTTAGTATTGTGCCTTGCTGACCAGTGGTTGCGCTAAGTTTCAGACTGGTGGTTTTAAAATGGGTTTGTATTGTTGTACGGTACTCCGTCCCAGGATCTTAGACAAGTCTTAAATAAACAAACAAAGAAAGAAAAGCAAAAGTTCAGGTTCTCCAAAACGCCACTTCAGGTTAGGTGGTATAAAAAAAATTAGATGGGCAAGGGAGAAACGGAGAAATCCAGAAAATTCAGCCGAACCTCTTCTTCACATCCAGCCCCGCCAAGGCAGCGGTACAGCAGGTTGCTCATAAAAAACGTTTGGTGCCATTCGGGCTAAAGACTGGAAACGTCCAGCCCATTCCTCCGTGGAAACCTCGCACCACCGCTAGTGTGATGTGGGTGCGTAGAAGGACATGACGAGGCTTCCGGAGACCTGAGTTCGAATCCCAGCTTGGCCAATGCAAAAAAACAAAACAAACCGCCCATGGAAGCGGCAACAGGTTAAAAAAACCACCCCTTCAATCTCTCTCGGAACTGGAACACGCTCTGTCAGGGTTGCCCCAAAACGGCCTGAGAAGGGGTGACCTCCCCCTCCAAGAGCAAAGGGATAAAATAGATCTCCAGCCCCTTTTTAATCTCCGCCACGGGATTTCAGAGGCCGCCTCGGGCCTGGAGCAAGAAGCGGGAGCCTCTTCGGGAGGGTCTACGCGCCCAAGAAAAAAGGGCGGGGGAGGGAGAAGCCCGGTAGAAACAGACGGGAGCTCTCTTTCCCACAGAAGCATCCTACTTCGGGCCCCAAAAGAGCGGGGCTGCGCTTCACTGTATTTATTTATTTACTGGGCGCCTGACAGGCTCCGGTTCTTCCCCCCCCCCACCCCAAATCCACCACGACAGGCGCGCAGACGCACAAGTAGGCCGCCTCCGGGCCGGGCCCCGCGTTCGGCCTCGCCTCAGCCACTCGCGGCGCCGGGTTTCCCGCTTCCTCCCCTCCTCCACTGACGCAGTCCGTGCTGCACCAGATCCTAACATGGCGGCCGCGAGGTGGTGAAAGGAGCGCGGCGCCACGGAGGGAGCGAGAAGTCGGGATCCCTCGGCGGAGGAGAGGTGAGTGGCGGGCCTCAGCCGCTTGTGTTTGTGTGTGTGTTGCGGGGCGGGGGAGGGAGAGGAAGAGGAAAAAGGAGCCGCGCCGTGGCGGCGGCGTCGTCCGCGAATTTCAGGCGTTGCGTGAGGGAAAGCGGCATCGTCCAGTAATGGAGGGTGGGGGAAGACTAGGAAGGGGTTTGAGTCGGCCTCATACTGGAATGGGTGGCGGGGAGGGGTGTATGTGTGTCGAGCGAATGGGGGGGGACGGTGCTTTCATTCATCTCTTCCCCCCCTCCCCAAAAAAAATATCAGACTGGAAGGCCTCAGTCGCTGAATGAAGGGCCGGGACCGCCTCAACAAGTCAAGCGGGAGGAGGACGGCCCCTTTCCCCGCCGAGAGGGGCTGAGAGAGAAAACATGGGGCCCTGAATTGGAAGGAAGGGGAGGAAGGAACAAACGAGGGACCCCGGTGGGGGGGGGGAAGAGGAGGAAGCGGCTGGCGGTGCTGGGGCCAGTCCTTGTGATGATAACTGGTTCATATCAGAGGCTTTCGTGCACTTAAGAGGTGGGGGGGCGGGCACGACGTCCCTCAGAAACGGAGACCCGAGTTCCCCCCCCCCTCAAGCTTATTGAAGCGTTTCACGCAGATCACGGTTTACACAGTAAAGAAGACTTATAACAGACACCCTAACCCAAACCCCGGCCCAGTTTAGGAGGTAACCTGAGAAACTGATTTGTGGGACATTCTTTAGCGGGTGAAGAAGCGCTTTGCAATACAGTACTTGGGTTCAATAAAGGCGGGAGTTCATGTCTTTGCCATTGGAGAGAAGGGAAGGGGGTGGGAGGCGGATAAAAGCAAAGCAGAGAGGGAGAAGACTGTTAAAATGGCAATAAGTCGTAAGCTAGGAGACATCATGGACTTGGGAAGAATCCTGGCGGATACACTAATGCCCGGAGGAAGCACTTTCAACACCTGAAACCTGGGCATTTCATCTGTGTTTATCAATACGGAATGTGCCTCAGTTGATGGCACATGCTTAGTTGGTGCCTAATACTGGAGGTTACCTCCTCTGAGTTCCAGTTTGGTCCAGTATAAGAAATAGATTGTTTGCTTCCTTGCCTGTGTTGAATTTGTGAAGTCTTGAAAGATGTTTGTGCAATAGTTAAAGTTAATATGTTTATATCAAGATGTGCATTTTGAATTGTTTCAAATATTTTCCAAGGGTTTCTTCTTTATAAGGTTTGTCTTCACAGTGGACGTAAATAAGTGCATTAGGTTTGGTAGCTCAATGAATTAGGTCTCTGGCTACAGAGCCTGAGGTTGGGAGTTCGATTCCCCACTGTGCTTCCTGGAGATGAGAGACAGCCTGTGTGGCCTTGGGCAAGCTGCACAGTCCCAGGGTGCCCACAGAAGAAGGGAATGGTAAATCACTTCTGAATATTCTCTACCTGGAAAACCCTGAAAATAGTTACCATAAGTCAGAATTGACCTGGTAGCACACAATTAAATTACCTTATTCCATCCTGTTTGTAAATTATCTAGAGTTAAGGATATTCAGTGAGAATAGCTAAGGTTGCAGATGACATCCAAAGCAGTCTTTCCAGATAATGTATACTGATATGGGCAGCAAAATGCCAAGTAAAATTTACAGTGAGGGTGAAGTGATTCTTTTATGACATAACAGTGCAGCCGTGTTTTGAATACTGTATATTATTTTGGTTAGTTACTTCCAGAAAACATAGATTTGCAACCAATATGAGCAGAGCTGGAACACTTTCTTAATAAGAAAGGGCTGAAGCGCTCAGAATATTTAAATTAAAGTTGTTTGTTTTGTTTTTAAAGGCAACTAATGGGGGAAATGATGGAGGCTATAAAATTATATTTTTTGGGTCATGACTTCAGACATTTGCAAGTGTTTAAAAGTGAGCAACTTCCATGTAAGGCTGGGGAGGTTTTTGTCCAACTAGACAATTTAAAGATACTAAATGCATTTTTCTGATCCATCTCCTGCTTAAACTTATGATTTCAAATACTTAAAACTAGTGAATTTTTATATGCCTTTTAACAAAGTTTATTATTTATTTATTCATTCATTCATTCATTTGACTATAACCTTGTGTTTAGCAACTTGCCCAGTCACCATAGAGAAGAAGAAATTTCATGCTGGTGAATAAGGAAGATAGGCATGGATTGCTCTGCTGCAGGCCTGTTTGTTAAAAGCTAGCTTTGCTAGCTTGTTGAGTGGTGAATACTGTAGTTTACATTTACATGCTAGCTTTGGTAGTAGGGGCTTCCCCTCCTCCGTTACCAGCATGGAAATCCTATTCCCACTGCCCCTGTCGCCTCCCTACCTTGTGCTGCCACCTCCTCCTTTTGCTCCTTCTCCCCTGCCATCATCTTCAGAGTCAGCTTCCCAGCTGTCTTCTGGGAGATGGGCCTGCTGTCTCTGTGCATGTGCCTGCCTATCAGCTGATAGGTGTGGACATGAACAGAGATGGTGGCCTGGCCTCTAGGAGCTGGGCCTGCTATCTCTGTGCATGTACTGGGGTCCTTGTTGATCAGTGAAATTAATTGGGACTAACGTTCCCTGTACGTTGTATGGCTGTGTTTCTGGATTGGGGCCATGCGGTGCTGGATCGCCCATTTGCAGCCAGAACAACGGGGGAGTGGGAGAAGGTGGCAGGACTGGGTAAGGAGGCAATGGGGGCAGTGGGAAGGGGACGAGCAGGCTGTGGGGGAACAAATGGGCAATCCAGCGCCACGTGGTGCCAGATGGCCCATTTGCAGCCAGAACAATAATACGGGAGAAGAAGGCAGGACCAAGTAGGAAGATGAAGGGGGCACATGGGGAGGGGCAGAGGGGGGTCAGTTTCCCCTCCCCTTCAGCATGAACGTGCTGAAAATTGCTCACTGCTGGGGACTATAGGAATCATACACACCCTCACAAGAGCTGTCATTTAAGCCTCTTTCTTAAAAACAGGTATGTACATATTTTAAAATGTGTTACTCACAGATCTGCCCTCCTCATGAACAGTTGTGCTACTTACGCCCCTTTCCCCCAGGAAACGCATGGGGAGTTTAGCTTTTCTAAATTATCCAGATGGATATAAGGCACAAGTAGAGATGTCAGGCTTTCAAAAAGCAGTGGGATTAAGAAATAGAACTACAGTATTAGTCAATAATCGTACAGTGGTGCCCCGCATAGCGACGATAATCCATTCCGGAAAAATTGTCGCTATACGGATTCGTCGCTATGCAGAACAAA